GAAAGTAGAATCCCTGAATATGACAGGAAACTCAGGAAGAACTTGGAACTTGAGTGAAATTGCATACCTTGTTTATGACAAGAAGCTCGAAAAACTATACCCTGTTCCAGTGGATCATCCCCGTATAGTCTATATATGGGAGTACCCCCCACCCCCCAGGTATATTACTCCCAACTTGTGACACATGTTCTTATGAGTGGAATAGTAATGAACAACAATTTGCAAAAATGATGTGTGAATAATAGATGCTCATCCCATATTACCAGCTGAGTATTAATCATTAGTTTTTTTAAGGGATCTGTATTTATATTGACTAGTTGAGCAAGCTCAATTGCTGTCTACAGTATCAGTCTCACCATTTATTGTCAACTGTAGTTGGTTGTACTCAACCAATAGACCCCTCACACTGAGTCCCAAGATGAATTGTTCTGAAGGAAAAAACAGTGGATGTTTTTTTGCACAAGAAAAGGTAGCCTATTTTTAGTCCCCCAGAACAATTCCTCTAGGAATTCAGTGCAAGGGGTCTATACCTTGAGCCACCCACCCTCCCCCATATGAAATATACTGCACAGGTCTCCCACTAATATCTACCCTGGCTCATCAATTTTTTTCTCGTTTACAGGTTGTGCTGTCTGAATGGGCAGATAAACGATCAAGAGATCACTCCTTTGCCTTCATATTTAACAATTTTAAGAAGTTTTATCTTCCTTACATATTCTCCAATTGGAATCCAAGACCTCCATTATATGAAAGTCATGCAGGTAATTTTGGCAAATGTACAAATGAATACCTGTAATTAACAAGAAAAAACCAGCTTTTTTCCCCCATTCAGTAATAAAGCATGCAAGAAGTGATGTAAGTAATGTAAGGAGAAGCACAAGGCTCCATAGGTGAATGCTTCTCACACTTCTTGAATGCTTACGTGGCACTTCCTAAGTGCTTTAGTACTGAACGTTTTATTATATAGTTACTAATTTTATTTTGTTATTGAATTTATTTTTACAAAACAAAAGACGGTTGAGTCTTTTGCATGCATGGATGGCATCAGCAGTGTGCTCCGTTCACTAATAAAGCACAGTTTTTGTCCAATCAGCATGCACATACTATCCCAACTATATAAATAATAAGAGTGGGTGGGTAAAGGGCACACCGCAAAGTGCTTTATACATGATCCTCTGGCTGGGGAGAATTGTGCAGCATCATCCAAGTAAACTTATAATATGCTTTACCTTTAACTTTCTTATTGTTAACTACCTATTATCAGTTTTAATAAAACTCCTTTTCCATGAACAGAAATCCAAGTTCCTTCCTCAACAGTAACAGCTGAGGATATGGCACAGGATTCTAGGATGATAGGACCAAGAGAGTCAGTTTTGAGATGGTTTGTTGCATTCACAGTTCGTTTCAAACGTCAAAACTCCTCTGAACTTAGCAGTCAGTTCCTCAGCTCAACAAAATCATTGGATTCTCAGCTTTCTTCAAGCCCTACGTCTTCTCCCGGGTCTATCCCTAATATTGATATGTTACGCAGTGGAAGTTCAGGTAGTGAACACCTTCATGAAGCAAGTGATGTGATACGCAGGGTGCTCTACTCAACTAGAGAAAATGTTCAATTACTACATGAGGTGCTACGGCAGGTAAGAGACTTTGAACTTGAACTCTATCCATGCAAGGTCTGGGACAGTACTGCTGATTTATCATAGGTGGCTGCTGCTCTTTCCTTCTCTGATATGACTGCATGTGCTTGAAGTGACAGTTAACTAGCCACCAATTTATAGTCATGTTGGCTAGAAGTTTCAAATTTTTCACACCATTGCATTATTTTTGACAGGGCTTTAGACTTCCTCCAAGAAATGTCAACACCATCAAACAGGTTTTACTTGTTTATCAAGACTGGATAAAGGTTTGTATTCTCTTTAGAACTAGTAATTTTCTACTGTATAATTTTGATAAAGACATCTTATTAGATCTCTCCTAACTTGTTGAATAACAATCATCAAAAAATAGACAACAGTATATATTATAATTAAAAAAATATTGGAGGGATAAAGAAAATCGTATTTGAGTAATACAACGCAATACTTTATTTACCAATGTGTCACTTTTGGAAACTTGTTAAAACATGAACGTAGAGTGAGTTTGTAATTAATGACTGTGATTATTTTATTTTCAGCTGCAACATTCAGAAAAACCAATCTTTATCTTGGAACCTACCCCTCAATCCTCACACACCCATGATGTAACAGATGCACCCAGAGCTATCATGACAGGGAATGAGGACTTTGGCCCTCCAGCAAGCCCTGTCAGAACCTGGTCCTACTGCCGTGCTGTCGGGGAGAGGGAAAGGGAGAGAACGTTTACTCTTCCCAGTGAGGAAGTGAGAGCTGGTCTTCAAGCAAATCTGCGCCTCTTTCTGCTTCATTCTGCTGAAGTGTTTTTAGTACCTGAAGATAAGGAATTCCTAATCAAACAGGTGTGTAGATAATTAAGGTGAAGGTGCCTAGCTTGAAGGGAAAGCATCCATTTAATTTATGTAAATAGATTAATTAGTGATGGGCTGGAAATAAACACTTTTGCTTGTAAGCCCTTGTTCTTGTTGGCTATCCTAGTTTCATTTGTAGCCTGTCCATCTTTCTTTCAACCTCCCATCCTTCTTCCCTTCCCTTTCCTTCCCTTCCCTTCCTTCCTTCCTTCCTTCCTTCCT